GTCCCAGCACCCGTGGGCACGTCCCCCTGCCCTGCCCTCACCTGGGGGAGGTTGTTGGTGCTCTGGGTGCTGTTGCACTTGTCCAGCTCCCGCTGGACCTTGGAGACGAGGCCCTGCAGCTTGTCCTTGTCCTTGAGGGTGGCGTTGAGGGCGCGGGTGAGGTTCATGTTCCTGGTGCCCAGGGTGAGGATCTTGTTGTAGCGGTCCTGCAGCTGCTCCTCCAGCAGCCGGAGGTGGGTGTCGGTGCCCGCCTGGGCGTTCCCGTACACCATGAACAGCACCAGCCCCAGGATGATGAGGAACTGGATGAGGGAGGTGAAGAGGAAGATGTACTTCATGTAAAACCCGCAGTCCCGCTTGGCCATCGGCTCCTTGGCCTCCAGACCGAACTTGGCCATGGCGAAGCTGCCCTTCTCCATCCCGCCGGCGCTGTGCGAGCCCCACCCCTGTGCGGGACCCCCTTTGAGCGGGGCCGGCCGGGGGGCGGGGCCGGCCCCGACGCCGTGTTTATATCCCTGGATTTAATGTTTCCTTCTGCTGGGCTCCTTCCTGCCGTGCCGGATGCCTCGGACCCGCCGGGTTATCACGGTGCAGCTTCTGTTGGCGGCGGGACTATTGTTCCTGGATGGGGAGGGGGAAGGCCGGGACCCTCCTCCCCCTGCCCCGTGCTGGTGCCCGGCGCTCTCCCAGGAGTGTCCCCCATCCCAAAATAACCCCCCAACAGTGGGAATTCCAGGGAATGAGCCCCCGGGGCCAGGCAGGGTGGGCTGTGTCCGCTGGTGGGGTGATGGAGGGGATCCCACCGCCCGCACCGGGCACCCCAGGGTGGTCCTGGCACCCCACCCTGGCGGTGGGCCGGTGGCACGTGTGTGCCCACCGGGTGGGTGGCACTCAGGGGTGATGCTCCACGTCCCTTGTGGGGATGGGGAAGGGTGTGGTCAGGTCCTGGCTGGCGGGTGGGGTGGCACCAGGCTCGGTGGGTGATGTGGGGCCATGGGGTGAACCCCGAGCTGGGGGACGGGCTGGGGACACGGAGGGGGCTCAGCGCAGGGACAAGGGGTGACATCAGGTGCTGGCAGCGCCGTGGGGTGGCTGGGGAGGGACAGGGGATGCTGCCCCTTTGCCCCTCATGACCAGCGACCACAGACACGGTCTGGGGGTGTCCAGGTCCTGACCACGGCCATTGTCACCCT